GGATGACTCTGTACACAAAGGAATGCCAATAGATTTAAATATGTAGTATATTAATTTAATGTAAAGTGGCAGTACAATGCCTCTTTCCAATCTTTGGCCAGAATGTCTATACCCAAAAAAGCAAAGGCAGGGATCAACTTTTTTTTTTTTTTTTTTGCAGTACTGGGGATCAAACTCAGGACTTTGTGCTTTCGAGGGAGGCACGGTGCTACTCAGCTAAATCCCCGGCCCAGTGATCAACTTTTTTTTCCGTAGCAACTACCAACAAAAACAATTCCATAAGCACCCAAATTTTGTAATCTACTTTTTAAAGTTAATACTTTAAAAATCCAATCAAAAGATAGGAAGAAATTCCATATAGGTGATCAAAAAATTCATTTTTAAGTCATATGTATCCTCCCCAGAAGTACAGCGGTATCTGGTAGGTGAGGTTCTTGGCCAGACTACAAATCCATTTTCATCTGTGAAGGGGACTTCTAGCACTAGCTGCACTATCTTGAGTTCAGGGAGCAGGGAACCCTGCAAGTCAGAAGTGAGGAGAAAGCAACTGTAAGGGTTAAAATAAGCGCCTTGGGCTGGGGATTTAGCTCAGTGGTTTCACTGCCTGCTGCGCAAGCGAAAGGACCCAAATTCAATCCCTGGTACCAAAAAAATTAAAATGAAATAAGCACCTTATTCTGGTATTTCACTACTTCCAGCACCCAACTCCCAAGTTTCTGGGCCCCTAAAGTCTCAGCTTGCTAGAAAAACTATTTTCTCAGAAGTCTGCTGATTTTCTCCAGTGCATGCCTTAGGCCAAAGTTACAGACCTTCCCTTGCTTAAACCACTCAGTGCTGTTAACCTTCCCTGTCAGTGTGAGTCCCTGGACCTCCTTTAATCCACCCAGTGTGTGACTGACTGACTGATGGCACTCTGTTCTTCCCAGAATTTGCATTTTGAACAAAGGATGTTTATCACCTACTTGAATTGAGGATTCCTTTGGGGAATGTGGGGTGGAGGTCAACAGGAGGGTAATCAGTCTGGGAGTTGGTTGGCTCTAAGTGGTTCCAGCTTTCCAAGCCTTCTTTCCCTTTCTTCTGAATTTATCTGCTAAAAACTCCATTTTTTTTTTCCACAAAAAAGAGAAAGCAAGAAGGGCATGCAGGTGTGGTCCCAGGTGACAGGTTCATAATCAGTAGCCTGTCTTCTTAGCATCCCACAAGAAGGGGATGAGAGCTTTGAAGACACAGCTGGAAAAGAGGCAAACCTAGATTGGGTGGTTCAGAGTGGGCCTTGGGAATCTGCATTTTATTTTTTGCAGTGGGGATCAAACCTAGGCCCCTGTGGGCCAGAAATTTAGCTCAGTAGTTCCAGCACCTGCCTTGCAAGCGCAAGGTCCCGAGTTCAATCCCAGGTACCAACCCCCCCCCCCAAAAAAAACCTAGGCCCTTATACATGTGAGGCAAGCACTCTGCCACTGAGCTATAATACTAGCCCCTACTTTTGAAATTTAGGTAATTATATTCTAGCTGCATCATTTCCTACATTTATCATAAAGGAAAAGGGGAATATATGCTGGAGATCAGACCCCAGGCCTTGTGGAAACAAAGCCTGAGGCTCTCCCACAGAGCCACACTCCCGCCCGATTTCATTTGAGTTCCCTTGGGCTGGGGATGTAGCTCAGCGGCACCACATCTGCCTGGCAAGTGCATGGTCCTAAGTTTGATCCCTGGTATTGAGGAAAAAAAAAAAAGTGGGGCTCACACTTTGCAAATCATTTGAGTTCCCTTTAAAATTCCAAGTTGTGTAAGCAGGGGAATTTAAAATGCTGGTAATCTACCTGAATTGTACCTAAACCACTAACTAAAACGAAGCAATTAAAAGGGCCTCCCTAAATCATTTCGGGCCCATTGAATCATAGTCACCATGGTTTAGGTTCTAAAATTTAGGTTGCACTTCTTTTCAGTAGTTCATCAATTGAACTTAATGAATGCCAGAAGCTTTCATTTATATCAAAGTTAGAGAAAAATGAAACCCCATGCATTTAGAGATTGAAGGTTCCAAATCACAGGATCAAATGTGTATTAATAATTCATTTGCAACATCTGAACCACAGGGCCCAAATCATTTCGCTGGGCATGGTAGCCTGTAATCCTAGCACTCTGGAGGCTGAGGCAAGAGGATCACCATGAGTTTGAGGCCAGCCTGGGCTACATAGTGAGTTCGTGGCCACCCTGAACTACACAGCGTACAGTGAGACCCTGCCTCAAAAAAAAAAAAAAGGGGGCTGGGGATTTAGTTCAGAGGTTCCACCACCTGCCTTGAAAGCACAAGGTCCCAAGTTTGATCCCCGGTACAAAAAAAAGGGAACTTTCTAGAAAAAAAAATTACTCTTCAATGAATTGGCATGAAGCATTAAAATACAAAGGCAGTTGGGGCTGGAGATATAGCCCAGGGGCACAGCACCTGCCTGACATGTACAAGGAAGTCCTTGGTTAGAATTCCAACACTGAAACACACACACACACACACACACACAATTTTAAAACTAGAAATGACGCTCATTTAGAAAATCCTTGTTTTCCTTTTTTTTTTTTTTTGGTACCGGGGATTGAACTCGGGTCCTTGCGCTTGCGCAGCAGGCGGTGAAACCACTGAGCTAAATCCCCGGCCCAATCCTTGTTTTCCTAAAAATAGAACTTGCAATTTTCTTGAGCCTATTTTAGATATGACTTTAAAAAATTCCAACCCCTACAGAATATCTTTTACAAAGTGATCAAATTTGCCAGGTGTGGTGGCACACGCCTGTAATCTCAGCACTCTGGGAGTCTAAGGCAGGAGGATCCTAAGTTTGTCCAGGCTGGGAAACCTACCACCTTAGTGAGACACTGTCTCAAAAAAGGGGAAAGGCGTGCACTGGGGATATAGCATCAGTGAGAAGGCTATGGGTTCAATTCTCAGTACTTACTAAATATACAAATGAGACTAGGGTGTAACTCAGTGGTTGAGCACTTGCTTAGCATATGCAAAATTGAGTTCAATCCCCAGCACCACCAAATTTCTTAACTGTTTAAAAATCTCAACTTTTAATTCAAATATTTCTAATTGCTCCTTTGTTCACAAAGTTCTTGTTCTTGAGAGTTGAGGCCCTCTTTTTCAAATCCTTGTTCAAGCAGCTTACTAGTTTTCTACTAAACTTAAAGAGTATTTAACAGACTGAGGCTCAACTTAATGGCAAAGTTCTTTTTTAAAATTTTTATTAGTACATTTGAGATAGTGAATACATTCACCATAGGGAGGCTGAGGCAGGATTGCTGCGGGTTCAAGGCCAGCCTGGGGTACATAGTGAGACCCTATCTCAAGGGGGAGAGCAGGTGGGACATGGACATACATCTTAATTCTCCACAAGTCCTCATAGTCTACCCTAGGACACTGGCCTATACTAAATTGTGATGGGTCACCGCATTTCCCAAACCCAAGCTTTCTAATTGGTCCATGGAGGCACAGTTAAAAATATTCTCTAATTCTTCTATTCTTACTTGAAGTATTTCATGGGAAATTATATGCAAAGTTTTTTCTAGTCTTTTCCTCAGTTTGGTGGGAGTTGAGGGGGTAGATATGAAAGAGAAAGGAAGTCTGTTCTGTCTCTTAAAAAAGAAATCATTTGGATTTCCCTTATCCAGTTAGAAATTTTACATATGAAGACAATATAAACTGAGATGCTTATAACAGTTAGATTCTGTCACTGCCATGGTGTAAATAATTTAAACAAAAGTAACTATGGTTCAACAGCTTCTTTCTTCCTAATTTCAGAATGCTAAACAGTGAGGAGAAAGATGCCTTAGGGTTCTTTAAAAATGTTCAGTGTGCAAATCACTAAAATGTATACAGTAGCAGCTTCCCATCTCCCCTAATTCAGATTTATTTCTATTCCATGATTAAGGTGCTTGCAATGGAGTGATCAAAGTCACTAATTTGGACTCTCAGGGTTATTCACACCTGTAAACATCCTTCCCTAGGTCTTTCCTCTCACTTCCTCCACTTAACATGGATGTAGTATTTTCAAGTTTTGAACAGAGCAAGAAATTTCAACCACAGAAAAAAAGTAACCCTACAAATATCCCAGGACTAGGGGTAGTTGGCTAATTAGTCCAAGGTTAGATAGCATGTTAAATATTGAGCTAATGTCAATCCTTAAGTTTTTCGTTCACTTTAGCTGGTTCCAAAATTAGCAAGTACTAATAAACTCAACTGTGTGGCAATCAAATGGTAATCAAATTGAGGGTGGAAAAAATAAAAACAACACTAAGACATTCATTTCACCAATGACACTATTATGCAGTGCCAGGTACACTCTTCCTATATCACAAATGATGATCGCATGTTACATTATTCCTCTGGCAACTCAGAAGAGACCAGAAGAAAGAACCAGAGGCAACCCCAGGATAGTCTGAGGGATTATGAAGGGACAATGAGGTTCCAATATATAAGTCCATCATAGGCTGGATTCTTTTCAGTGTATAAATCTTTCACCTTTACCAATTTATAAGCTCATGAGGAAGGAAAGACAAAACACATCATCATTCTGAAGGCCGGTATAAAAAGCAAGATAGGGTCAGGTAAATACACTTTCATTCTGACTTACTTTGTCTTTTTAAAATAATGTATCTAAAAGTTGCCAATGAGCTAAAATGTCCTTTAAAAGAGGCATATTACCTACAGTCCTATTTAGCATTGCTAATTCTGTAAATGCCACTTTAAGTCTCTTGGGAAACAAGTTTGCTGGATGAAAAAAAATAAAAAAGCCAGAATTTTCTCATTGTTAGTTTTCCCCCCAAATGCATCTAAAAATCATACCAGAAATAATGAGTTTCATCAGCAGTGGAACATTGGACTGAAATTGACCTAACAACTACCATAGTCCTTAATCCACCTTGCAGTCACACAAATAAAAGTATGAATAAAAATTTTAAAATGAGAGGAAAAACTATTAAAAGGAAAAACAAAGACACAATTCAAATTTACTTTGAAAAAATGTGATTTTATTTTCTGAATCAGTAAGAAGTATATTTGTGTTCAATTTAGAATATTTAGCTTTCCGTTGATCTTTCAAAGTACTTTCCAGATATTAACAGTGCTCACTCAAAACCGTGTAGAAGTTTACAGGCAGTACTATGTTTACTAAGAAACCGTTCAAGGCATTGGTGATTCTAATTTAAAAATAATTTTAATCATCATTGGAATCTAAGTGACAATGAATTTTCAGGAGCTAAAAATCAGATCTTTTAAAATAGAACCCCCACACAACTCATATCTGACAACTCCAATTGAATATAATACCTCCCAAGTGCCAAAGTAGTAAATGTATTATTTTACTTTAGGATAGGAAAATTATAAAATGGAATTTCTAAATTATTACATATATTAATATATCATTTTCACTGTCATTTTGCTAGCAGAGTTATGAAATGAAAACAAATTCTACATTCATGGGACAAAAGACAAGTGTACGTTCTTTTATTGTTTTAAGAGTTCTTCCCATTCTATTTTTTATACCCATATTTTATTTTTATTTATTTGTTGGTGCCAGGGATCGAACTCAGGACTTGTGCTTGTGAGGCAGGCACTGGAACCACTGAGCTAAATCCCTGGCCCTACCCATATTTTAAAGTAATGACCAAAGGCCAAGAGTCAATCCATTTATCTGAACTAGAGTCAGTAGCTACTGACCCTACGTATAGCATGTGTTCTTTAACAAAGCCAGAACTCAAAAGTTGCAGTAGTTGTAAATACAGTATATGAGTTAGGAACTCTTTAGGATTCCAAAGTGATTCTGAGAGAGAGGTCCTAAGTCCAACTGACTATTCATGGACTATTCTTGTGTACTGAAGCATGTCCAGCATGCACACCAACTTCTGTGTTCAAGTTGAGGTAAAACAGACAAAAATAGTATTAACAGAGCTGCATAATTAAAACTAACCTTCATATAAACTAATTTTTAAAGTTTTCTCATACAAAAAAAGAGTCAAGCCAATTTTTCTAATTTCAGTCATCCAAAAAATTAAAGCTTTCCTTTTCAAATTCATTTTCAATAAAGAACATTTTGAAATGCAGAAAAATAATCTGCACTTTATACTTAGCATGATTTGATTTCTTAACTATTTCTCAAATTTAGGAAGAACTCATCTCTGAGTACTATTCGATATTTTTTCAGATAACAATACTGACAGGATTCATAAGTAGGATTTTCTGACACAGGCAGGAAAGTTTATTAACCTTTAAAGAATCCCAACCACTCTTCCTTCAAGCATAAAAGACCTCTGAGAATTAGCAGTTAGGATTAGTTTTCCATAAAAAGACACATTTAAATCTTGGTTTTGGCCAACATTTTAAATAGTCAAATTTTACTTTGCTTGTGGGTCTCAAATCAAAACAGACAGAAAACAAATGAAAATTACTCAACTGGCAGCAAGTCCCACATGCCAATGTCATTTTTAAACCAACCATGAAAATCGACTGCCAGAAATTATTTACATGTAACTGCTTGTTTTATTAAATAAGCACTGGTCAGTTATATAAAATAATTATTTGCAAGAAATGGTACTGAGTGCTGGGTTATCTTAATGGTTCTGGAATAAACGGAAGCATTTAGAAAACACCAGCTCTTAAGCACTTTTTATCTGTCATTTGAATTAATAAAAGCATATTTATTTACTTTTAAAGCACATTTAAATGTTACTTTTCCATTGATAGATTCTACAGTCTAGTCCCGCCTAACATGGTCGATTTAAAAAAAAAAAAAATCCCTAAGCCACATGGTAATGGAATATTAAACATATCATATAGAAACAGTTCCGGGCAGACCAAAAGAAGAAAATCTGCCAAATCAAAGTACTGTAAATAAAGTTCATCTTCTGCACAACCCTGCCCTGCAAAAAACCTCAAAAATCATAATCAAGAGACTACCCATTCCCCCCATCATACAATAACCCATTCAAAACACTTTAGTTCTGAGCTTAACATTTCCCTAAGATGATAACAAAAGCTTTAAGGTACTTAAAGCTGTAGCAGTAACGGTTGCAAGCGCCACACTAGAGAGGAAATGCCCTAAGGGGTTAGGGCTGCCCACCCAACCCTTACCACCCCAACCCCAGGAATATGCAAAAGCCCGGTTAAAGTTTTTCTTATGCTAATAAAGGCATACCACCTACTGTGCTAAAGACTAACAAGAGCAACATCAGAGCAGTAAAGTGAAAATAGAAAGCTGATAGGAGTCATCTAAACACATACTTAGAAGAAACAAAGCAGCAGACGGGACCCTTTGTCCTGATTTTGTTTGCAGGGAAGTGGCTGCATTAAGCAGCCAGATTTACCCACAGTAACAAAAATTTAACAAGGCTTCCCCAAGACATCAGAATAAAACTTGACCTTTCCAGTCAAAGGGTACAGAGACGCCTCTTCCATGTTCTGGAGTTGAAACGAGTTCAAAGATTGCCAATAAAGGAAAAAAGAAAGCATTAGTGGTGTGAAGGGATCGAGTCTTGTAGTTTATCGAACAGTCACACCAAGCTTCTCCAGCACACGGACACCTTTTTCCTGATACTCTTGTCGGGTCATCCAAAAGTTGTCTTTGTCTTTCATGATATCTGCCAGAACTGCGCCACCCAGGAAAACCATGTGCTTTCTGCGGGGTGGGTCTTCAATGCGGATCTTAAATTTCTAAAGGAAAGAGAGAGGATTGTAAGATGTCACATGTGCACAGTGCTTTCTGCTCCATGAAAAGAAACCTTTTCATATATCCTCTTGTTGAATCTCAACAACAGTCCTATAACAAATATGACAGCAGGATTTGGTATCCAAGGTACCTCTCATTTAGCCATCTGTCCCAAACTCATAGTTGGGAGAACACATTCATTCCAGTGTGCCAGGAACAGTCCTAATTCACACCTGTTGTCCTATCATTAACAGCTCCTCTTTCACTCTCAAAAGGGAACGGATTCGAATGATAAATCACACACACAGCCAATCCCTACAGAGAGCCCAGTACCAAAGGTGAGGACAGCAGGTTATCCCTCAGCTTCTCAACTGAGAACTCACTCAAACCTGGAAAGGAAGACTGGTGTGGTCTCCTCAGGGTCTACTGCTACTATGATTTCAGAGGAAAACTGAACTTTCTGACTCTGTGTGTGTGTGTGTCTGTCTCTGCGTTTTTCTTGTGGTACCGCGGATTAAACCCAGGTCCTCATACATACCAAGCATGGGCTCTACCACTGAGCCACATCCCCAGTCCTAAAATTCTTTTCTTATAAGGAAAGCTCATTTTCTACTCTCTCAAATTCAAATGAAATGTCCTCAAAATAAACAAAGCCAAATATGGCCAAAAGAAATCCTGGGGATGTTGGAGAAACCAACATTAACCAAAATTAAAGACAACTGGGAAAAGTTTTATACGCTGTAGCTACTATTGTCTAAAAAGAATACATCCCAATCTGCACAGCTGGTCAACGTCCCAAAGAGAAACCTTAAAATGACACTGCACTTTTAATTTCATGTCCAAAATCCTGCAAAAAAAAGATTCAAATTATGTCATTCTAAATTTAAGTCTTTATGTCACATAAACAAATTGTAGGGGTTTGATAATCTACGACATGGAAAAATATCAGTTTACGTATTTGTCGATTTTTTTTTTTTGTGGTGCCGGCGATTGAACTCAGGACCTTGAAATTGTAAGCAGGCGCGGTGCCACTAGGCTAAATCCCTGGCCCACGTATTTGTCAATTCTGAGACCAACTTTCTGTCCTAACTGTTTTAGTTGCTTTTCTGCCCTAGGTAAGGATCCACAAATGTTTTATAAAGAGCCAGCCAGTAAACACTTGAGACTTTTAGGGTCTCTGGCAACTATACAAACCCCTGTGTAGCTAGAAGACAGCCAGACGATATGTGACAGTAGATAACACTATGTAAACAAATGAGCCTGGAAGTGTTCCAGTAAAAATTTTCTTTTCTTTTTCTGGTCCCGGGGATCGAACTCAGAACCTTGTGCTTGCAAGGCAGGCATGGTGACACTGAGCTACATCTCCAGCCCTCCAGTAAAATTTATAAGGGCTGTAATGTACCCATGTCTGCTCTGAGGGAAATCAAACTGCCCTCTTCCCCAAGCCACGGCTGCCCTGCAGCTTTCTCAGCTGACCGCTGTTTCCCCTCCTTCACTCCACCTCTCTAGCGTGGAAGGTTTGGTTAACAAGGGTTCTTGTTCTTCACTGCTGCTTCTATTGCCCTCCTCCCCAAGACTCCACAGCAGCTTGGGAGTGCAATCTATCAGCATGCCATCCACCACTCTTCCTTGTTGAAGGCATCTAGCGATACCTGCACACTTCCACAGACCTCCCATTATACTGTCTCATACCTATTCTTGATTCATACACTCTCCTGTCTACTCCACTACTTCCTGACGTCATCCTTGGTGACTTTGTTCTTTCTCCCTCTTATACTCATCTGACAAAATACCAACGTGGGTTATCAATTCTACATTGCACCTGCCCTCAAGTAACTGAACAAGACAGGAAAGAAACTGAACATCTTGGAGTAATTTACTTTTGAATACTGCCTACTCATCTAAGGACAGCTGTCTGTCATCTTGTCCCCATTTTCCCCACCTTCAAATAAATCTTTTATTTAAAAAAAAAAAAGGAAACTCAACATCTTGCTTTCAACTATCACTGGGCCCTTCATGCTGTTTGACAATCTTGTCACATTTCTCCATTCAAGTCTTCTATTATCCAAGACAACTATTTTCACCTCCTTCACCACTACTTTAAACCTCTACCACCTTCTCCCTTCTCTCATAGCCTCCTAACTGGTCTTTGTCTACCTTTGTTCCCTCCTCTCCCAAGAATCTCATCTCCACACCAAACTTACCGGTCTTTTAAAACACAAGCTGGATGGATCCCATCATTTCTCTGCTCAAAAGCCTCTCAAGAATTTCCAACTAACTAGGAATAAAGCCAAACCTTTGGCATGGCCAAACAAGACCTTCGTCCTTGCTACCTTTGTGACCTCATCTCCCAACCGGCATCCCTGACTCACGCTGCCCCAGCCACACAGGGCTACTCCACCAGTTCAGGGCCTCTGCACTGTTCCTGCCTGAAGATTCCCCTGCCCCCAAGTCACATGTTAAGCTGAGCATGGTAGTGCTTGCCTGTGATCTCCAGAGGCTGAAGCAGGACTGCTGCAAGTCTGAGGCCAGTGTGGTCTCCATACTAAGTTGAAGGCCTAAACTACAGAGTGAACCCTTGTCTCAATAACAAAAAAATGAAAACTACTCTCTCACTAAAAAGATCTCAGAACAAAAGCTACCTCATTAGAAAGGTCTTTTCTGATCACAGTCATTAAGAAGCACATCACCTTCCCGATTACTATCATTTTCTAGGGTCTAACTTAATTTTTATACTAATTACTACTGATAAATTATTTAGATGAAAAGCAGGGATTTTATCAGTTTTATTTGTCCCCAGCACCCAGATAGAGTCTGAGAAACATTTGCTGGGCTGGGGATATAGCTGAGTGGTAGAGTGCTTCCCTAGCAAGTATGAGCCAATGAGTTCAATCCCCAACACTGCAAAAAAGAAAAAAAGGTTGCTGAATAAATGAACACTTGAGATGGATTTTAAATTATACATATAATTCAATAAAACCAGAAAAATGAGTGAAGTACTTAGACAACATGGCTCCTTTCCAGTTATTAATTTGCTTAATCTATATGAGGAGCCCATACTCAATGTAATTTCAGTAATTTGAGTCATATATGAAAGATGTAACATTAGTGTGTCCAAAACATACATTACTCCATAATATAAAATTTCATTATCTACAACAATGGAGTAAAGACAGTGAGACAAAGCTGAGATTAACCCAAGATTAAATGACTCTTGGTTGGGTGCTCAGCACATGCAGTATACTTCACACAGCCCAGGGCTTGGGGCTAGGGGAGATCCCTGCCAAAGAATCACCAACAATTTCTAGTTAAAGTCTGTTTCAAGACCTATGACATTTACAGAGATGCAAAAGAATTGGAGGCATGATTAGGAAGCTAAGACACAGGCAACCAAAGCCAGGAAAATAACCTAAAATCAGAATTGTAAGACAAACTAAGAGTAGCGCTGACACTTATTGCATATTCAAAAAGTAGGGGAATGGGAAAAAAAGAATCAAGATATATCGTGTGCAGGTAAATTCCTTATGATGAACAAGATCACTATGTATATCTAAAATGTACCAATAAACTTAATTTTAAAAAGGCACTACATAAGCACTTTATGTACCTTATAGTATGAGAAAAAAGGTTTAAACAGAAATAAAACAGCAATGCAATATGGGGCAGTTATCTCTCCACATCACAGCAGACTTTTCCCGTGCACTTGGAGGGTTGCTGGAGTCCAGGCTGGTTGTTACAGAGGGGCTAAGACTTAACTCCTCCATACACTGAACATGGAGGTCACCAGTCCTACCACTGTCCTGGGGACAATTCTGCCAGGCCATACTTAACCACAGCAGGAATTTGTTTAGGAAGACTTTTTGCTCCCTCTAGTGGTTGTCAAGATTCACAAGTTACAGGGTTTTAAAAGTACTGGATTACAGATACTCACAGAAAGTTTTTCCACATCTCCCTTTAAAACTCGTTCTAAGTAAAGCTGTTTAAGTTCTCGTTCCAACCGTGATGGCAGGCCAGGATACATAGTAGATCCTCCAGAAAGCACAATGTGCTTATAGAATTCAGATCTAGGGAGACACAACAGTTATTTATTTGGGGTTTCAGATTAGGAAAATATTATCTCAGGGTTACTGTTACTTCTTTTCTCTTTTTGGTACCAGGGATCGAACTCAGGTCCTCGCCCTTGCGAGGTAGGTGGTGGAACCACTGAGCTAAATCCCTGGCACTACTGTTACTTATTTTCTTAAAAACAATTTTTTTTAGAGACAAGGTCTCTTGGGCTCAAGCGATCCTCCCATCTCAGCCTCACCAATGCACCCTGCTCTAGTTGCTGTGGGGGAACTAAAATTCCACATATGGGTCACAGGTCTAAATGTTTGCTATCACCCCTCTTTACAGATAAAAATTTTTAATAGTTTTATACAAATGCTCCTAAAAGCGTACGACATACTTCCTTACAGATGTAATTAGTGGCGTCTTTTAATAGCGACAAAAGTTTACTAATTATGAACTTTCAGTATTTGGTCTGTTATCACAGTGCTTCCCTACAGCAGCTGAGATATGTTTGTTGACTGTAATTAGACATATACTTCTTTGAGTTTCCAATCATTCCATTTGTTATTTGTAGTTTCTCTTTTGTCCCTTTGCCTTGAGGCTGTGTTATTTTTGGCTAGATCGATGTGTTTCCTTCTTCTACCAGTGCCATTTTTCTTCCTTAAATATACTGTTGGGTATGACACCAGAAAATCCAATCTAAAACAGCTGCGTAAGTAATAAAAGTAACAGAAGTGAGTGAGGTTTTGAGGAAATCTCACAGTGAAGTTCAGGAGCTAAACAACATCAATGTTAGCCTTATTCAGACTGGTTCCTAACTTTGCACTTGCTTCAAGCTCTCAAAGGCTACAACTCTACATTCCACTGTTTTGTATTTAACCGTGCTGAAGGCAGTATAACAAACAGGAAGTATGGCTACATGCAACATGAACACAAAAATGTTTACATGTGTCTTCACCATGCAGAATACATAAAACAAATGCTGAGTGGCACCATTTTCCTATGCTGTAGAAAGAGTACTGAACCAGATTCCTATGTTTCTGAAACGCCAACACTTAATCACCATCAATAGGCATGCATGTTTAACTGCTTCTGCTGCTAATGAACAATAAATCAAGGGATAAAACCATCTAAATAACTACCATGAAGAATTTACCTTAGTTATGAAAGCTAGACTCAATTTTTTTGTATCATTTTCTATTAGGTTTACTATTTGTTATGAGTCAACTATTATTTTTATTAATTCCCATTATTAACTTGGTTCCCCAGCCATCCTACCCAAACTAATCAGGTGGTTATTAGTCAGGGTTAAGTAAACACACACACACACACATCCTTGTTCCATGATCCTGGGTGAATTTCTCTATAACCCTGGTATTAGGGAAAGCTTTCTGACTCAAACTCTGGATACAATGGAAAGATTATAAATCTTTGTTTTTTGAGAAAGGATCTCACTATGTAGTTCAGGCTGGCCTTGAACTCACTATGTAGCCTTAGGCTGGCCTCGAACTTGCAATGATCCTCTGTCTCAGCCTCCAGAGTAGTGGAATTAGAGGTGAGCTCCACAATGCCCACCAAATCTTTTTTTTTTTTTTTGTGGTACCAGGGATCAAACTCAGGACCCTGCACTTGCCAGGCAGGCGGGCTGTCACTGAGCTACATCCCTGGCCCAGCAAATCGTTTTATACAACTAAGTTAAAACAAATTTTTGCAGGCCAAAAACACCATAAGCAAAAGACAAATAACAAAATGTGAGAAAATATCTGTAATAGGTATCACAAAGCTAAAAGACAAAATTCTGAACACTGGAAAAAAAAGACAAAATCAAATTTTATAGAATAGGGACAATACACACAGACAGTTCATACACACACACACACACACACACACACACACACACACACACACACACACTCTATAAAATGTGGTCCTTAAGGGCTGGGGATTTAGCTCAGTGGTTCAGGCGCCTGCCTGGCAAGCACAAGGTCCCAAGGAGTCCTTAAAAGCATATAAAAATGTGCTCAACTTCACTTTTTTTTTTTTTTTTTTTTGGTACTGGGGATCGAACTCTCAACTTTACTTTTAATAACAGAAATGAAAATTAAAACTACACAGATTTCTCACTCAGACTGGTAAGAAAGTAATGAACTTGACAAAAACTAAACAAGGCTGTGGCCCCATCATACCCTCATATGTTACTTGGGGGTAGGAGAAATGGTACAACTCCCATAGAGAGGTATTTAGTGATACCTTCTAAAAATACATGCATTTACATTAAAGTGAAAAACTTCTGCACAGCAAAGAGGCAACATAAAGGAGAAAATATCTGCATAACATGTATTTTTTTTGTTTTGCTTTGTTGTTTTGAGACAGGATTTCAGTTTGCAGTTCAGTCTGGCCCTGAACTCACTATTTAGCCCAGGCAGGCCTTGAACTCAGGGTGATCCTCCTGCCTCTGTCTTCAGAGTGCTGGAATTACAGGGATGTACCACCATCCCTGCAGAGTCTGGTGTTTTGTTTTGTTTTCTGTACCAGGGATCAAACTCAGGACCTTGCGCGCTTACAAGGCAGCTGCAGTGCCGCTGAGCTAAATCCCTGGACCAAAACCATTATCTGATAAAGGGTTAGTATCCAAAATACTTAAGGAACTCTAAGAAAACAAATCAATTAAAAAATAGACAAAGGAAATGAATAGACAGTTCTCCAAAAAAACCATACAAATGGTCACTGTTATGATAAAAAAAAACATTCCTAATTATCAAAAAAATGCAAAAACACAATGTGATAATACCATATACCTATTAGAATGGCATTATTATTATTATTATTATTGACTTGGTCTTGGTATGTAGCCCAGGCTGGCCTTGAACTCATGGGTGATCCTCCTGCCTAAGCCTCCTCAGTCCTGGGATTACAGGCATATGTCACCATACTCAGCTCAGAATGGCTATTACAAACAGGGAAGTCAAGTGTCAGTGATGACACAGTGAAAAGGGAACCCTTGTACACTGTTTATGGGACTATAAATGAACACAGCCATTAAGAAAAACAGTGTGAGGGGAGGGGATACGGCTCAGTGGTAGAGAACTTGCCAAAAATGCACAAGTCCTTGAGTTCAATCCCTAGCACAAAAAAAGGAGAAAGCTGAGCATGGTGGTGCACACCTATAATCTTAGCACTCAGAAAGCTAAGGCAGGAGGATCACCACAAATTCTAGGCCAGCCTGAATTACATAGTGAGACCTAGCCTAAAAAAAAAAAAAAGTGCCAGGGATTTAGCTCAGTGGTGCTGCCTACTGCCCTGTAAGAACGAAAAGACGGGGGACAGCGACGGGATGGGACGGGAAGAAACAATATGAAAGCCTCAAAAACTTAAAAACAGGACAACAGTATAGTTCAGCAGCCCACTACTAAACATATATCCAAAGGACTTGAGGTTAGTATATATGCTGGAGAGACATCTGCATTTCCACATTCATTGTAGCATTATTCACAATAGCCAACATATGAAATCATCCTCTAAGAAAATGTTATCCATACACAATGGACTACTACTCAGCCTTAAAAAGGAAGAAAATCAGCTGGGTGTGTTCACACATGCCCATAATCCCAGCATTTGGGAGGCTGAGTATGACTGAATTTGAAGCCAACTTGGGCTATACAGCAAGACCCTGTCTCAAGAAAGCAAAATAAATCATAAAGAAGTTCTATCATTTAGGATTTTTTTTTGTACCAGGGATTGAACTCGGGATTTTGCTCTTGCAAGGCAGACAGCAAAACCACTGAGCTAAATCCCCGGCCCTAAAGTTCTATCATTTGTACAGATGGATGGACCTAGAGATGATTATGTAAAGTCAGGACAGAAAGAGAAATATTGCACGATGTCTAATGTGAGGAATCTAAAAAAGTTGAACTCATAGAGGCAGAAAGTAGAATGGCAGTTTCCCAGGGGCTGGGGTAAAAGTGGGGAGATGGTGATAAGGGATGTAAAACTGCAGTTAGACAGGAGGATAAGCTTTAAGCTCTAATGGATAACATGGTGACTATATTTAACAATAATATGCTATAGGCTCCCGTGCCGCCATCCCAAGCTCCTAGGTCAGAGAAGGTGAGCTGGTCCCAGAACCTGGAAGGAAGCTCCCCCGCCACCATCCCAAGCTCCTAGGGCAGAGAAGGTGAGCTGGTCCCAGAACCCGGAAGGAAGCTCCCCC